GCTCCTAGTAGCGATGCCAGGAGCCCCTAGTAGCGTTCTTGCTCCTAGTAGCGATGCCAGGAGCCCCTAGTAGCGTTCTTGCTCCTAGTAGTGATGCCAGGAGCCCTACCTAGTAGCGATGTGAGGTGTGCCCCTAGTAGCTTCTTGCTCCTAGTAGCGATCCGAGGAGCCCCTAGTAGCTTCTTGCTCCTAGTAGCGATGCCAGGAGCCCCTAGTAGCTTCTTGCTCCTAGTAGCGATGCCAGGAGCCCCTACTGGCTTCTTGCTCCTAGTAGTGACGCCAGGAGCCCCTAGTAGCGTTCTTCTTGCTCCTAGTAGATGAAAGCAAAGGTTTCAGGAAGCCAAGATTGAACTTTTGGTTGGTCAAATTGTGATTCTCTTGAGACCCGCTCGATTGTAGTTGCAAGATGCAGATTGCGCCTGCGAGGTTGGATTTATGTTCTGAGGAAGATTGCGAGATGAGTCAAAAGGAGCTAGAATTTGCTTGATTCAAAGAAAGAAACACTCGGAAGTACTTGCTACACATAGTACCATTTTGTAGAAACACTTTTGGGGCAGGAGTTTTGTGACCACTTTAAGTTTAGCCGCGTTTAGCTTTTGTTTGTACATCGATGTACAAAAGACTTGGAGGCCAGAGTAGATGCGCTAAGATTAGTTGATTCCTGTGCACTATGCAAATAACTAGCAATAGTCAGCATGTCCATTTGTGATTTGTGCAAGCTTTCTTGCTCTAGGGATCGAATTAAACGCGTGTGCAAAACACTTGCGAGCAAACTGCCAAAATGAAGTGCCAGCTTTCTACATTGACCGCGCACGATCAGCCTCCTCAACTGGCCATTGCTGCCATTGCTTGAGGGTCCCTGCATGTCCAGGCCAGACACGATCTCACCCAAGCGACAGGTCTTGCTCTCTTTGCTTTGTTGGACCAGGCGATTGGCAGTGCTGTTCGCACGTCAAGGCCATCTATTTGCACCGCAACATTGATTGGGCAACACGACAAGATAAAATCCGTTGGCTTTCACATTCTGCTCCCTGTCACTGATATATTATTGTATATAGACATGCATATACCCGTCAATATCCCAAGAAAGGTGGGACATTTGTGTGTTGTGAATTGTGACTTTCAGGAGAAGAGTCACTGGATCAAAGAAAGGACTGAGTCTCAGAGTTGAAGGTAGAACCTTTACAGTTCAGTTTCTTTATATACCTATCCATTTTCAGGTTAACTCCAGAGTTCAGTCCTTTCTCTGTTGTTTGGCTGACCTCTATAGTCTGGAGATGGTTGAGGCCCTTGTCTTCATTTCTTGTATTAACTCTGAAGAATATCCAGGGATGCGATTGTTTTACTCAGTTTGCTCTTGAGCGTTTATTCTGTTTTCCTTGCCACGTCTACTACGTATAAACTCTAGAGTTCAGCCTTTTTGCCGTGAAGATTTGCTGGGCATTATCTCACAAGTTTGTTGTTTTGCTCTTCCAGTTTTGGCTATCAAAGTTGTCTGTGCTTAGCTTCACTTATGGCGGCCATTGGCGTCCCTGGATCAATACTGCTTCTTCTCACACGATAAAGAGAAATCGCAGGAAAAGAGATTACGGAAGAAGGTAGGCGCCCCTGTTCCTTACAGGACTTTAGTCAAGGGACCCTTGCCTTCTATTCGGATCAGTTGTGTGAGATGAAGGTGCTTTCTGCGACACTTCTAGACTCTTGAGGTTGCTTGGAAAGTCTACATATCCGCCACAACCGGGTGCCAAGTCAACACCTTTCCGGCCTCCCACATTACACACTTGCAGGAGGTATGGTCCAGAATTTACCACACAGGTTGATATATTTCCATCTATATACATATCATTTTCCCAACATGATTTTCTCGTATAAAAATTGCCCTGGCGACCCGGGTTGGGGGTCGAGACCGGGTTTTTGAAGGCGGGCCCAGGTTTACTGCCCACTGAACAAAATTCAATGGCAAACTTCCCAGCTCGTGGCACATCAAGCGGTGGGCCCCACGGCCAGCTGAAAAAGGTTTGGGGTTGAGACCGGGTTTTTGAAGGCGGGCTCTGGTTTATTGCCCACTGAACAAAATTTGATGGCAAACGGCCGGCCCGGTTCGTGGCAAATCAAGGGTGGGCCCCACGGCCGAGCCCTTTACAGCTCAAAGTAGAGCGCTCGAAGTAGGTATTAATTCTAAAAGAAAAAAAATTACCCTAAGCCCTCGGCCCCGTGCTCTGACAGCTCCCGTCTTGGAGGCTTTTGCTGGCAAAAATGCTTTCTCCAAAATGATTTCTAGCATAAACTTGGCGCCGGCAAATTTCCGGGGTCGAAACCGAGTTTTGACAGCCGCCAAGTTTTGTTTATATTCTAACAAACCCATTGCCGGTTTTAGGGCCGAGGCTCGAAACGTGGACTGGAGGCCCTTTTGAAGGCAAAAAAGCCCGGCTAGCTTAGTCATCCTTGGCAGATTACTGAGGTCACACAGTCTCCCCGTAAGGCAAAAACATTTTCCCAAAGCGATTTTCTAGTATAAATTAGAGTTCTCCCCTTCACACAGCTGTAAGTGTTGGTTTTGGGATTCTCCCTTATTCTTCCAGAAAGTTGTTTCGAAACAGTAGTTGAGGCAGGCCTTCCACTCTTTGCCACCGTATCTTTTTGCTTCATCGTTATAGGTCGTCGTGCAGATGTGGTCGGGTTAGCGCAAGTTCCCGTCATACAGCTTTCCATTTTCTGTTTCAGGGCGTCCGGCGCCGACGCCCGGACGACCGGACGCCGGTCACGGAATCGCTGCCCACAAGAAGTGCCCGACGGACGGGCCCCTGTCCGGACGTGCGGATAGGCTCTGTCGAGTCTCGGGGCCAGCTGTTCGAGTGCCCACGTTGGTAAAAGAGGCGAGCAGGTTTACGTTTTCGACGCCGCGTCGTCCTTCGGCGGGCCGCGTCCGCTGAGAAACGGTCATGAGAAACGGTCGCCGTAACGGGCGCCGCCTTGTTTGCCTTGGTATGTCTGCTGGCGATCGCCGCCTACGCCGTTTCCCGGAGCGCGCCCCGCCTGTGGCTCGCACTGCTTCAGACAACCGCCCAGTCCTGAAAACAGCCACCGCGAACGCTGGGCCCGGGGATGCTTGTCACATGCTTTTCTTGCTCTGTAGCGTGTATTTTGCACTTCTGTGGTTTGCGCGCGCGGGGTGGCCTTTTGTTACCTTGCCTTGGGGAAGAATGCGAGGCCGTCCACGGACGCAGCCGCCAAGTTGATGCCCATCACTGGATGCCGTAGCAGCTCGGAGCAGGTGGCGTCGAGTGTACCGCAATGGACATCCTGCCTCGTCTGGATGTGACCTCAAGGGCCACTTGCGCAGAAATTTGTAGAGGTCCACCCGCTTGATGTATGGCGTCTCTTGTCCCGGAGCGGGCTTTTTGCCTTTGCCCATGTTCGGACAGGCGCTAACGCGCGACCGGAAAGATAGCTGCAGCCGAGAAAGCTATCGTGGTAAACGCAAACAAGCACGCGGGCAAGGGCCAGGAGAGCCGCGCAGAAATGTTTGCCTACCTAGCGGCGGCTCAGCCGCAACGGTGGAACAATCAAGCCCAGAGGTTTTATATTGTCTTCTTTCTAATGACAATCAGCTTGCTGAGGTCACCTGATTAGCGCATTGGAGGTCGAGCAACCAGTGTGTTTTTTCGCCGGTTGGTACACGCCCTTCAGTGCATCTGCTTTGTGTTTGGTATTTTTATCCAATGCGAAACGTTTCCCAAGGGAGCAACAGCAAGAAGACACGGTAGGCGCCCCCATCAAGACAACCCTCGCAGCGACTTCCCACGAGGGTCAGTATATGTGAGGGAAAGTGGACAACCATGCCACAGGTTTGTGGAGGTTCTCTGTCTGTCACGGTTCTGTACCCGCCCAGTGAAAGTCGACGCTTGTTTGTTTCGGCGCCCGGGGCCCAAGCCAGTGGATCGGCGGTGCTTCCATTTTGCCAGGAACAAGACACCCCGGTGGTACACGGCGAGCCGCCGCCTACGATGCAAAAAAGAAGAGCTTGAGGCGTACCGCAAGCTGTCCCCGGCCAGTAGGCCCGAGGAAGAGTGCAGGGGGTACGAAGACTCGGCGTTCTGTTCTTGCCCGTTGCGGAACAGTGTGGCCGCCCGCGTGCGACCGACGCGGGGCGAGACCCAATGCCTTTTCTGCTCTGAAGAACAGACGCAGAAGATGGGCGAGGCGGAAGTAGCAACAACGATGAAGACACAGGTAGCCGCGAGGCAAAACAAAGGCCTGGCGGGCGGGGGCCGGTGTGGGACACCGTGGCAGCGTTTTCTTGCCCGCTGCTTGGAGGGGCTGGGCAGCTTGCCATTGAATTTTGTTCAATGGGCAGTAAACCTGCGCCCACCTTCAAAGCCCGGTCGCGACCCCGA